TTTAGGCAATTTAGTACATTTTAGTACATTTTTAGTACTATTTTAGTACTTTTAGAAATTGGCCTGCAAAGTTCTTGAGCAGTACTACGAAGTTGCTGCAGACACCATTGCTCTATTTCGAGCAGTTGAGGAGTTATAGGAATTCAAAAAATGCTCAAAAATGTTGTTTGGTAGCCAAATTTGATTTTCAGCCAATAAAGGGACTGGATGTGGTTTTTTCGAGTTCATATGTTCTAGAGAGTTGTTTAATTTTTCTTTGGATATGATTTTGACGAAGAAGGTGAGTAAAAAAAATGTATTCCTCGTAAGTTATGGTCGAAAAACTGGAAAAATCTACCTTTTTTCAGACATTTAGCCCACTTGCACCCACCAAATGTGATTTTTTGGTAAAGTTTGTTTAACAAACTTGTTTATTGGACCTTTGGCTACAACTTTGCTCAAGACAGTAACATGCTATCACCAATACTAGATGAGTTATTGACCAAAAACTGATGAAGTCAACTCTGGAAAATCCACTGAATCTCAAAAACTGCCTAGGTCGATAAAATAAAAACCCCTACTAAACTTTCAAAACCCAGTTGGGGTTTTACTCAGCTATGGTAGTACTAACATCTCCACCATACCAAGTCTTGGCCCTTTGACTAGTGTTGCACTGTGTAATTAAAAAAATATTCATAATCCTAGATTCCTCATGGTTAAGTCAGGAAATGTGATTGACATAAATCAGAGAACAATCAAATCCATTGTTTAAAAGTGTCAAAAATGTGTCTAACGTGTGATCCAAATAATTTATTTTGTCAAATTTTTGTTTTTGCACACATTTTTGTTTATAACTTTACAATTAGCCTACATAGACAAATATTCCCAAAGACAAAAAAAAAGAGAAAACATTGACGAAAAAAAATTCTTTTTGAAGCAATGTGATGCGATGTACGGTTTACGTTCTACAGGCGTTCAAATGTTGCCCGTCTAGAGGCGGTTGTATGCATTAGAGGGTTAAAGCTGATTAAATGAACGCAAATAACAACTATTTCAATTATTTTGACGTGAACGAACCATGTCAAGTATTGTTCGTTAGACTGTGCGTGTGTGTGTGTGTGTGTGTGTGTGTGCGTTTCGAGCATCTGTTTCCCAAATACCTTTTCCAATTGCTGCCAATGAAAGGAAACGTTGTGGCAGTCAACCCGTGAAAACGGCAGCTATTCCAAAGTTTCAAAAATTTAACTTGATATTGATATGAATTTTCTTTTCATCATTGATTTTAAATTACGAAGAAAATGTTGCCACTTTTTCAAAGCGATAAGTTTGATTGAAAGCTAAAGTATTCGTTTGATTTCATTTTCTAAGGGAAACGATTTTCTTCTATTGATTTTCGAAAATTGCTTGAGAAACTGTTGGCAAACGCCATCGAGTTTCCACTGTAACTCGATTCTATTACACATGGTCAATTAATTGTACCAGATTGAGATTGGATTCATGTTATGGTTATACGCTTTTAGTGTGAAAACACATTCGCGCACCTCGTTAACGTATGTGGTTTTCGGGTTGCTACGTAGTAATTTCGGGCGTCAAAGTTGAGCGATTCTCGGAAATTTCTCTAACATTGCCAGCACACACACACACACACACACACACACACGGAATCAGAAGAAAAAAGGCCACACGCACACCGAATCAGAAGAAAAAAGACCACACGCACACACACACACATACACACACACATGAAAAAAAGAAAGTTTTAGCAAAAGTATTGAATAAACTCACTTTAATGTTATAAGTTGTTCGGCAGGCACATGTTCCGCCAGCAGATTTTTTATCTTCTTGATTTTGTCACGCGACGCGCGATCGGCCACCACTTTGCTACTTTCGCTCATATTCATCGATGATGCTAATGGTTTCCACTCTCGAAACACAGCCAGTATCCGTTTGCTCGGTTGTGCTGTAAACCACAAGAAACAAAAAAGAAAAACGGAATAAAAACAAGAAAAAGAGAGAGGAGCAGGATAATTAAAATGTCCTTAAATACTGTGATTGATACGGAATAGAGAAGAAGAGACAGACAAAAATTGGCCGGCTCACGCACATATTGACAAATAAATGAGGCGTCTGTACAAGCATCTGGATCAACACCATAATAAATGAAGGAGATGGATAGAGAAAAGTTCCCAACGAAGAACCAACGAAATGCACGAACTAATTTTTCATATCGTTAAAACACTTTCTTTTATTCCGGCCGTCGCCACTGTCGTCGTCGTTGTTCTTTCAACAAAGTTCGGCCGAATAAATTCGAACTTAAATTACGTTAGAATTAAGAGCATTTTCGACGTCCGACAGATCAATCTGTGTTAAAAAGCAATTGAGTGACATTTTCTAAAGAGCAAGTTTTTCCTGCTGCCTTTGTCTTTCACACCATCTCTTTCGCTCACTTTTGGCCAGATAGATAAAAGAGACGAGCAAGAAAACGACCCTGAATTCTATTCATATATAATACTCTTTGTTTTAGACGCACTCGACTGAATAAATTCCCATTTTCGACGCAATATTTTCGCTTCTATGGCTAACACTAAGAGTGTGAATTCGAATTTTCGTTGAATGTATCATGTTAAAGAGAGAAATACACAGTGAGAGAGAGAGAGAGAAAGAGGGAGGAGTAGAACAAAAACACTCGAGTCTCTCTCTATCTCTCTCGCTGAACTTAATGTTGGCTTATATTTCGATGGTATTTCTACAGTAAACACTCGACAATTGAAAGCCAACAAGTGAATAAAGCCGATGGCATACATTAGTACCGCTTACGATTCTATTTTTTTTTCTATTCATTATATTAATAAAATTCATTGCCTAAAAACTCATCTTAAGCTTATCAAAAATCCCACTAAATCCATTTTGGGAATCGTGCACAAATTTGGACTTCTATTGAAGTTGGTTCAACTGTATTTCGTTCGGTTTTTTCCTCTTTCATACTGTAATGAAGTCCTATAATAAATTCTGCGTAAAAAGCTGAGCTGGTGAATATGCGATAAAAGCGCCGCAGAAAAAAAAATGATTTCAAATGAGATATATTGGTTTTGTGAGCTCAAACAACGCAAACGAGTTTTATTTAGTGAATGTTGACAGTCGGCACGCTAAACGGCATCCCTCGCTCTCTAATAATACACTGTCAACGGCCGCATCTCGTTCATTTGATATTTTATCTGTATTTTCCCGTTATGTTTTTATCTCTCCTCATCTTTTTTACCATTTCTGTTTCGCTTTGTCTCCATTTTCTCAAGTTGCTAAATTGTCGAAAATTACATTGTCATGCCTAAAAGTTGGTGGTGGCCACCGTTACCGACGACGACCAAGAAAAAAAGACCACTTGACCGACGAGAGAGTAAAGTAGAGCGTCATTTGAAAATGATGGTTGGTGTTGCGCTTTTACGACCAATCGTTTAACAGCACAAGAAAAGTGTGTATTTATTACTAGACAGCAACGAAAAAAAGGCAAAAAACGGAAGCAAGAGTGAGAAAGAATGGAAAGAGGCGGGAAAAAAAAAAATTGGGCACACTAATAAGATGGAAAAGAGATTGTGCGAAAAGAAGCTTCGATATTGGCACATAAGAAGATTGAGGTGCTTTAGATGACATCTTTTTAATTTTGTTACAGCCATTTGACAAGGCAATGATATGAACGGTTACTGCACTTGTTTAGATCAATTTTGGGGCTGGCCAAATTGAATAACAAAACGTTGTTTGCCTTCGAACTTCAATCAAAAGAAGTTATTTTTTTTTCATTCTCTAAACGAGAGGTTTATTGATGCGACGCACATTTTTTCATCGCTAGTTTCTATTGACATTCTCCACGTATGTCGATTCAAAGCAATGGGGGAATCAATAAAGCGGTCCGCTCGAGAGATCAATTGAAGAACTCAAGCAAAAATAAGCATAGAATCAAATAAACTAATCGGATAAAACTTTGTCTACGTTTTCAGTTGAGTTTTGTGCGTTTCGTTTGTTTTTTTTTTGCGTTGGCTGAGCTCGAGCAAATAAGTTTCAATGTTCGAGGATGCATCGACCTGATGTACTCGTAAACGTGCGCACATCAATAGGCATCCCTCTTTCCGTCTTTATACAAAACAATGGAGAAATGGTTTACTATTTAAAGTCACAGTATTAACAACAAGAAGTAGACGAGAAGAAGCGGAAAAAAACGTATAGAAGAACGAACTTATATTTGTAAGTATTCTATTCTTCTAAGCTCCTTTCTTTTGCTCTCGTCTCTCTGTTATTCGTTTTCAGTGTGTTTGTTGATGCTTTTGTTACGAATTATGAAATGCCATTGGTTTTTTTTTTCTCGCTACATTTAATTTCCAGTGTGTCGAAAATGAAATTACACATCTACTAGACTCTTTTTTTCCTCTTCTCATTCCGTGGTTTGTATGTGATTTATTCTTTCCTCGGCATCAGCAATGGTAGTCGTAACAATAAGGACTGCAAACACTTATTGTGCCATTTTCATTTATTCAACGGTGCCGTCCACTTTAAAATCGCTTTAACAATCATGTGCACAATATTGTTATAATCAAAAGTAATGGGCAAATTGCCAAATTCAAAAGACACAACGAAAGAATGAAGAAGATGTAAGCAAAAAAAAAATTGGCAACATAAAGTACATTTTGAAATGAAAAAAAAAAACGAAAATTGTGAAAAACGGAAATTCCGGAAAAATTTACTACGCCAATTTACTTCAGTAGTAAGTACACTGTTGTATTCGTAATTCATTTTTTCTTCAACTCTGTGAGTTATTTCCTTCAATTTATTTGTGAGCTGTAAGACATAAAAAAACAACGAAATGAAAGCTCGAGACACAAATGCTGGATTGAATTTCCATAACGAATTCCGGGGAAAAATACGGTTCGAATGTACAAACGAGATGTACATTGTACATGTACGCACTAAAATTGGCTTAGATGCAATGCAAAATACTGTTGGCAAATTTTAACTTGCACAATTGAATTTACAATTCACACCAATGAAAAACGACCCCTTGACTAAATCAGTTTATTCCATTGTTCATTCGCGGAGATAGATTGCCGAGTGAGAGAAAACTTGGCTGAACGTAACAACGGAAATGTGTTTACGAAAACAAAACCGTCGACCAGAAGAAAGGAAAAAGATCAAACAGCGCACTATTTACTTGTAGCCAGCAAAAGAGACAAAAAAAAATGAGACGCTAGAAATCAGAGATTGCATATTTGCTGCTGAGTAGGCCTGAGCTGAGCTGAATTTGCTAACTCAGGCGCCTGAAGCGGTATTTTAGCGCACTTACGGTGCAAAATTGTTGTGGATCGCTGGGATCCACCCAAATATAATTGATAAACAGCGTGGAACGGTGAAGAATTGTTGTGGATCCACGCTGTTTATCAATTATATTTGGGTGGATCCCAGGGATCCACAACAATTTTGCACCGTGAGTGCGCTAAAATACCGCTTCAGGCGCCTGAGTTAGCAAATTCAGCTCAGCTCAGGCCTACTCAGCAGCAAATATGCAATCTCTGCTAGAAATAATGGGTCGTTCGAAGAAGAGCGAAAAAATATGTATATGAAAACATTAAACTTGAATTTATAAAGGACAATGCTTTGAACGAATGATGCCAGCGAACCAGCGAATTCAAGAACCAACAACCAACAGCAAGAAAAAGACGGAGACGACGACGAAGAAATTATTTCGTCGAAATCCGTTTCTATTGAAAGAAAGTTTTCATTGTAAAGTGCCTTTGATGAGCATTTTCAGAGAACGCATTATTTTTTTTGCCATCGCCTGGAGCCAGAGTGATCATGAGCTTTCAACTCAAAACTATTGAATTAGTTGGTATTAGCCGTAATTAGTGGGTATCTAACAGAAAAATTGAAAACAAAGAAAAAATTGAGGAAAAACAAAGCATAAACAAGATGACAAACAATAATACAAAAGAACAATGCATTCGGCGGAAAGGGAAGTGCATTAATTTTGATGCTATGAATAATAAAGTTCACTAAAAATTTATCATCATTTTTTTGCAAAGAATGAAAAATTCTTTCAAAAACTACGACTTTCGAATAAATCCTGGTTGTAGTTTTCAAAGTATTCGAATGAAACTCGTCGTCACAAATTGAAATGTATACGTGTTCAGTGTTATTAAATCAATCAACCAGTTTTATTCCCTGCAGCCAACTTGAATAAATACTTTAATTTGAAGTTCATGATTGAAATGTGACCCTAGCCCCGAAGCGTTCAATCAACGTGATGAACAAACGAATAAGATGATTTCTCGCTCAATTACTATTGCGAAGCATCGAATTTTATTGTGTTGAAAATTCGATGCTTATGGTATGTCACGTATATCACAGTGGTTTCGGTTTTGACTGAAATTCTTCTGCACGAACGATTATTATTATCATCAAAACTAAATTTGTTTTAATTTATAATCCAAATTGAAAGCTATATAGCGCTTCGCGACTCGAAGTGACTTTGAGAAACGGGTGTTTTCACACTTGAAATATTTACTATCATTTTCGCTTGGTTCGGATACACAATGCGGATATAATTCACGTTTAAATCGAATTTCATATGCATGCGAACGCATTTATTTGTTCCATTGGAAGTGAGATTGTGTGACAGATGTAGCGAAGGTATCATTGTTTTGCATTTGTGTGTCTGTGATGAGTTCAATCCATTTGAGCTGCATTCCAGGAATAAATTCGAGCAAAGACATTGCACACATTATTTGTACCAATGCGATTGTATGTGACACGGAATGCAAGCGACATTCATTCGATGCATCAGTTAATGTGATTACTTTGTACTAGTGAACGTGGTAGCTCAGGTTTGTCTGTCATATTCAATAAAATAAAATGCATGCGGTTTCGTTATTGTAGTGAATATATATGGTACACACAACTATATTTGTCAGTCATATTTATGGCCTCTGTGTGTGGCCTCTATGTGTCGGATCGTTTCAGAAGTGAGAGTATCAGAGAGAGAGAGAGAGAGAGAAAGAGAGAGAGAGAAAGAGAGAGAGAGAAAATCAGTGAATAGCGTTTAGACTTTTTATCAAACGATTGCTGAAAATTTAACGGAAATTTCTATATAAGTGGTTTGTTTTGAAGCTAATCTAAAAGTGGTTGAGCTGCTTCTGCGAATTAAAATCTGACTATCGCAACACACAACCGCCTACATACAATGAATACATGTACACAACAAAAGATATCGAAATATGAATATGGTGAATGGGATCTATTTCTCCCTTGCGGAGAAACCAAATTAAAGTCAATGCTTTGTTAATGAAAACTTAGTTAAATGGATGACAATGAGGGCCTTGAGCTAGATATAGCCAAAAACAACTTATATTCATTCGGATATGTCCATTTTGTCTCTCAACCCCATCCCCCCTCTCTCTTCTTCCCACTCTCTTCTCAAACGATATTCGTGTGATTCAATGGCATTAAGATATTGTCAAAGCCAACATTATTAATCTCAGTCACCAAATTTAAGTAACACACAACTTATAATCTTTTGAATGGGATTTTATATACACATCAAAGAATGTTTGCATTCGCATTTCAATCCAGCACATCGATCGTTTAATCTAACGAGGCGAGTTTCGCATTGGTTGCGCTCCGAAAACACGCATAAGATACACGTTGTGCATAAATCGGAAATGATAATGGTCGACCGTTTAACATTCGTACGTCTCTCTGTCGCACGCAACCATAAAACCGTTTTGTGATTTTTGCAACAACTGTCGTCCTAATTTCGTGATAAACATAGAAATGCGAATTTAATTGACATCATGCGAATTTCAGATCGTAACAAAGAAAAAAGAGCACGAATTTTTGCCTCAAAGAAAGAAAAAAAAAAGAGAGAAAAACCCCGATTCGGATGGGAAAACAAAGGGCTTTGTCTAATACAGTGCGTAAAAATGCAAATTCCAACGAATGATGACGCCGCCAACAACAATCCGTGCGTGGCACGTCAGAGAGCAATCGAAAACTAAATTGTATGTATATAACATTTTACTTACCGAGCGCTTTGTGAATTTCCATTTCCGTGGCTGTAATTTGAATTGCTTTCAATTTATCACGTAACATCGCTGATTCGCTTGATGTCGTACAATCCGAAATGGAAGTAATGGCTGTATTTATTATCGTTCGTAGTCTATCAACATCGGCAATCCATTTTTTATTCAAATCTTTCTCTCTGCACCATCACCGTGTATACACCACATTAATCATCCATTTTCATATGCGGAACGAAGAGAATAGCAAATACACATACACAGACACAGACATCCAGCAGCATACAAGATGATTATCGCCGGATATCAATGGTGCAGAAGAAGCGAATGGAAAACGAAAAAAAAACGCCAACATCGCCAAGCATACGAGGAACACAGAGAGAAAAATATGTAGAAAAATGAAATGGAATGAAAAATGTGAAACAAATCGCCATTAATAAATAATTCAACTGAGTATGAATAATTTGTAAAAACAAAAACCGTTATACTGATTAAAACAAATTAGAATCAATTCAGATGTGGGTGGCAGAGATGGTTTGAAGAAAGCCTCGAATGGGATTCGGAAAATGCAAATTATGTGCTACATAGCAAGTATCTGGATAGGACAGCGAGAGCGAGAGAGAGAGAGAGAGAGAGAGAGAGAGAGAGAGAGATATTTGAACAACAACGGTGATAGGAACGTCAGAATTTCGTCGAATTTATATGTACGCACACGTTTCCCATGGACCGATTCTAACTTCCGGCCACCCGCAAACCATTTCAAGTGAAACGGAGACGCTGTAGATCCAATCGCAACCGAACTAATTATGCGTGAAAGTAGTGACTTCGGGTGGTACACTTTATTATTGAAGAAGTTTTGCCATAAAATATGAACTCTCTCTCCCACTCTCCCACTCTCCCACACTCCCACACTCTATCCTCCCCCCGCTCTCTTGCACCTCCGCAAAAATCATAATTATGAAATACGCATAGAGAGTTCCGACGTTACTTTTTTGTTGGCTAATGATGCCGCTGCCGCCGCCATGGCCATCGATGCGAATGTGTGGAACTGACACACATCCACAATCTGGATAAATGATTGCATGAAAAGTGAAAAGTGGATTTTGTAGTCGACCAATTCGAAACGCAACGTACAGTAGAGTACACGCAGACGGGGATAACATATTGATAACCTCTGAGTTGCAAAAGACTCTTGAACTTTGCCACTATAACGAGCATTTCACTTCAACTTTGAATAATGACTTCTTGATATGTTTCAGCCGCACATACATACGCATCAATGGCGAAGGAAAGAAGAAAAGTGCCAACGAACAAGTGTGTGAGCGAACGGGCGAGCAAATCGACCGACAGAGCGGCACACCAATTTATCCTGCCAGCGTCCATAAATTTTGAGTGTTCAGGCTTCAAATTTGTTGCACTTGTCTGTTCATTTCTGCAAATATAAACATGCGAAAACGCGTGAAGATAAATGCGTATAATTATATACGCGCTGTGCTTGTGTGCGTGGGTATTTACACTTCGGTTAGCAGTCGATTTCGAGCCGTCTGCAGACAAATCTGTGGCATTCATCATTTTCACATTTAAATTGTCTCCCGATTGTTCGACATCCCCTCTAACTCCCGTTCTTTGGGCATGGCTGAAATGCCCGGCAGGCGAAAATCACTTTCTACTCACTCGATCTCTCCTTTTTCAAAATACCATCCAAAAACAATCACCGCCAAATACATTCCACGGCCACCATTTTTCTTCTCTCGTTCTCTGTCGGAAAAATGTAGCTATAACACTGAAAGTGCAGAAAAGTCGACAAAACGTGGCAGGCGCACAAACACAAAACAACCAAAATAGATATTCGCTTTTGACTTTCTTGGTAGCCAACCATTCGCATCACTTTCGCGCTGAACACTATTTATTTTGAAAATTAATCAGACACAATTTATAATTAGAATATTATCTTTTAGCCACAAAACGGGATATTTATATCCATTAAAATAGACATTGGTTTGACGTACGACCAAAAATATAATGGTTTGGCTCTCGCATTAGCCTTTGCACTCGGCTGGAAATTTAATAGAATTTAATCTGATGTATTTGTGTGTATGTACGTATGTGTTTATATTTTGGCATGGTAAAATCAACGAACTCGGTTGATATCTCTCTCTTTCTCTCTCTCTCTCTCTCTCTCTCTCTCTCTCTCTCTGTTTTTTTTGTTCATTCTTGGCAACCAAATTAATGGGGATTCGTATTTCGATGCCACTGCAGACACCAATTGCACCCCGAAAAATGAAGTTCGACGGACGAACGAAAGAGAGATAGAGAGCAAGACGTTTTGTTTAACCGTCACACCAGTGCGAATGAAAAATGAGCGATCCGAAATTCCGCTCGAATCGTTGCACTTTCAATGTTCTGTTTTTGCCCTTTGAGACTTGAAAATGGCATTAACTTTGGTGCGACGTTGAATTTCGTTTTGATGGCATCACACGAGACGCACCAAATTGCCGAACCGAATCAGGCGTGCTCTTCGATTCGTGAATATACACGTCACTTTGTCATAAATTTGAATGTTGGAATATTCGAATGGATGGATGATGATAAGCGCATTTCACTTTTTGACGCGTTTTCATTTTTCAATTATGCACACCGCCGCGATTTCTGCCGCTCCAATTCCATATCGACCGCATTTTATGTTGGGCCACCCATTTGCCCTCTGTCTCTCTATCTCTCTTCCTTTCTCTCTCTGCTTTTATGCGATTCATGTTCGGTTAATTTTTCTCCACACCACCAATCAAGTTCAGGCAACTTGAAGCCACTGTGGACGAGCCAAGTCACCAAGTGAATTTTTGTGTGACAGAAACAGACAAACAAAATGGAGCAAAATTAACATAACAAGCGCAAAATCACATGGAACCCAACACGGGACTTAAAACAATGAGCTCTTATAGTGTCTGATTATGGTCATTTTTTTTTCATTCTCGGTTCGGTTTATTTTGATTTCCTCAACCTAAACAAACACACAGCGAGACCGCAAAAACCACCGTCCCGGAAAATACTCAAGAGAAAGGTTTGAAAGATACAAATTCCTCATTTCCTAATGCTCCCCCATCTATGGTTGTACATTATGAAAATTATAATGATAAGGAAAAAGAAAACATTGTCACACTACAAACTGGTGGCGCACTGTCTTTTCATCGACGGTTTCTTTTTACAATTTTTTTTTTCATTTTCGCTACTTTCATGCGATGCACTTCTTCTTCTACGAAATGGCACTTCAAAAATGAAATACTCGAGAGAGGGAAGAAAATGTGAATCTTCGGCTATAATTGCTGTTTGCATTTTTCATTCCTTTAACGAAAAATGTCAATGGGCATACGGCTGTCATTAAAAATTTATGCTTTGAGTACGGTTTTTTTTTCTTTCTGATACTTCTGCTGCTGCTGTTGCTGCTGCTGCAATAGTGCAACGGCTGAATGACGCTGACTTGGAATCTAGGATAAGAGGGATTTAATGGTGATGGCTGTAGCTTACCTATAATCTTTTCGTAGTGTGTATGTGTGTGCTTCTGCATTATGCTGATACCATTCGTTCATTAGGTTTACATCGTTTGCGTGCCGTTGAATTGCTTTGAACACATCTTCGTCCAAATGGGTTGGTAGATGCAGTTTTCCTAAGCTATTACCAACTAATGTCTGTGGACGCAAGCGAGTGAGTGAGCGCACGCACGCGCGCCAACATATCAGCATCAGCATCGTCCAACGAAAACGCCCAATCAATTAGTGATAATCGAATTGACACAAGCGAAGAAGAAAGCAAAGCGAGAAAAGAAAATTACAGAAAATACATCAAGTCAATAGAATATAGCAATAAATTTCAGCATTCTTAATAGCTTTTTGGTCGGTAACTGCTGTAAATTGGACCTGTGATGGAAGCTGGACTAGGGGAACATTATGTAAACATATACGTAACTAGAGTTACACATGCTAATTATTATTAACTTCTGGAAAAGAGTCATGGACGAAAATGGGGCAAACATTTCTTCAAGCGGCGTGGAAGTAAGAAAACGGTAGTTAGAAAATTTCAAGACCGAATCATTAGCGGCCAGATGACAAATTAACGCTTAATGAAATGTCAAATGCAACGTTATAGTTGCTAAGCTAAACAATCGCTCGAAACGAATTTGCAAGTTAGGCGCCAAAATGCGCATGGAATGATTTTTTGAAATTTTGACGAAGAGAATAACAAAATATTTTTTTCTTTCACAACGTAGAATTTTATTTAAAAAAATGTAGCAAAAAAATTCCACAAACGATTAGGTCAAACGAAAAAAAAAAACGAGCAGCAGTAATTGGCTAAATTTTTTTCAACATTGTTCAAACGAGATCAAAGCAGGTATGTGACTAACAAATGTGCACAAGCACAACCAGAATATTTACTAATATTAAATCAGAAACAGGGAAAAGTCAACAAAAAGAATTTTTTCGTACATAAAAAAGTGAAAAGAAAAATATTGTGATTAGATTGGGTTTTTCTTCTCTACCATGAAGTTCACTCCAAAAGTGTGCTTCATTCGCCATTTTTACACGTTATTCCTGTTATACCATTAAACAAAACCAACGCCACCAGAAACGACTTGAAAATGTTTGCCATTTTTCCATTCAACTAGCATTTACCAGTTACTTTCTTTGTTGCTTTTTGTGTGCGTGTACAACAAAAGCACATTTACCAAGTCGTGATATTTCGAAACGATGTTTACATTTCAAGGTAAGTTCGCCCTTCCCTCCAAACGATGTTAAAAAATAGAATATGAAAAAAAAAACGATAAGCGCGTGAAATTATGCGCTATATTGGTTGTACTTACAAGAAAAAATACGCTTTTCGAAACACGAGAACAAATTTCAATTTCGCTAAGATGCTCGTTGAGTATGTATGGATCCAAATCGGTGAGAGTATCCTGGCCGGGCCCAGTACCAAAGTGCATGTCAACGAACTCAATCTAAACACACAAAGGATATGGAAGAAGGGAAAAGAATTGGACAGAAAACAGAGAAAATTAATACAAAATAACGAAAAGGCAAAAGAAGGAGAAGAAGCAAAGTTTCCAACATCAAAATATTTACATCGTCATTTCGACAATAGTTGTGTGTTGGTCTAAAACATTTAATACTTTCGACAAATATTGAACTTGTACCGTTTTATTACAACATTTTAAGTGGTAAAAGAAAGAGAAAATCAACTTATTGCTTCCTCTCCATCAAAAATGGAAAAAGTTTTTACGGATTGAAGACACAAAAAAAGAGAATTGAGTTGCAGAGAACAAAAAAAAAACACAATCGCAATAGCCAAAGAGCGTGGCTCGATAATGAAAGTAGCTACACGAAAAAAAAGAAGCATGAATAATAACTACCAAAAGCAGCGAGAAGAAAAAAATCGCTGGAAAATGTCCAAATGAATGGACTCACAGTTGAAGTTAGTTATGCAGATAGTTTACATTAGTCAAAGTGTGTTTGAGTCGTTTTTTTTATTCTGTCCATCTCTCTCTCTCTCTCTTTGCAGATTAAAAGCTTTTCCGAATGTATTTGATGATGAATTTTTGAAAAGGCCATCCGAATTGGATTTCAGGCAAAATTTCACACCGCTGTCATGAAAATGCAATTAAAAAATTAAAATTCGACAGTCCGAATCTGCAGCGAAACGTTGAACGTTTGCTGTGTTTGCCGTTTGGGTTAAATTGAAGCAAACCGATTGCATGAATGGATTTCATGGCAAGTTTATGCGTTTGAATTGATTGGTTGTAGTGGTAATGGTGGTGATGAAGGCAACGAATGGTTCTTCTAATAAATGTGTTTCAAACAATCCATTCGGTATTGTGTTCAAAATCGGTCATTGGAAAGACAAACAAAACCCCCTAATAAACATCAACACTGAAACAAAATGTGTTCTCTTTTTGCAATGAAACCCAAAAACAAAAACGCAGAAAAAAAAATGAACGAAAATTGAACCCCAACTTTTGAGCACAAACATTTTGCGGCGGCGTTGACAAAGCATTGGAACCATGCAAAACAAAAGCAATCAACCGAATTGAAAATTTATCATTTCCAATATTTTGCGAGCCACAATCACATTAAAGCTTTTGTCGCAAAATTAAAATGAATGCGCTGGAAAAATGTGTATCACAAAGCATCAATTTATTAATCTGGTTTTTGTTATTATTGCGTTGCGCAAGGGTATGGTGTTGAGTGTTTGTCTTGATTTTCGCGGTTGAGTTAAGTTGGGCTTGGTTGGATTGGATTGGGTTGCGCATTCTGCGATGAGGTGCTTTCATGAAAACCTCTCGCTTTTATTTACATTTGCTTTTTTTCTGTTGCAATGTGCTTGGCTCTGCGCCTATGCTTTCCCTTCATATTATGGCACTTTTTTTTTGCTCCATTATTTCGCTGTGTTGCGTTGTAAGTCCACAAAGTGGAAAATCATTTGAAAATATTTATTTATACAAACGATTTCGGAAAAGGATACCGACGTTCGTGCAATGTGGCGCTTGTAAGCGTATGAGCGGTTGCCCCACGATTCTGATGAAGGACGGAATATATAAAATAAATAAATGGAATTTTCATAATATTTATATTTTTTTTATATTTTGTCACATGCATTCGTTGCTGAATCGCAATAGTAATAAGCGAATGGCAAAGGAAAGCGAAGAAAAAAAAACCTAGAGGCCAAAATATGTGAAGAGAGAGAGAGAGAGAGAGAGAGAGAGAGAGAGAGAGAGGAAGAAAGGAAAAATGACTTAAGTCCCGCATACATAAATATAATGAGTAATAAATATGTAGAATACGACTCGAAAAAAAAAGAAATAACGTGGAAAAAGCCCGTAAAGCACTTTCAAATTTTTGGAATAAATGCGCTATTCGGCAAAATACGAAGAATCGCAACACAAACATTGGCAAGCATATATGTAGTAAAAATGTATCTAAGCCAATGTAAAGCGGAAGAAAGCGTAGCAGAGAAAAAGAAATGGCGCTTAGAATATATCAAATTATGTATTCCATTTCATTTCTGTCACTGTTCGAGTGTATTTATCTGAATGTTTCATATAGGGCCCTTCGAATCGAAGGTGCGCCTATACGTGACAATAGCTACAGGAAAAATATAGTTCAATACAACAACATAAAAATAAAAGAAGAAGAAACAAATTATCCCATATATGAAATAATAAAAGATGATAAAAAAAATTACGTTACCTCAATTTGACGATCATCGTAAATTGATTGCAATTCAGGTCCAATTACTTCCAATAGAATGCGTCTCTCGACTTTGAATTCTATATTTAAGAGCAACGATAAGAGTAAAATGGTTTTATCATTGTAATAGGTAAAATGACATACACACACATATCCTACATTATTGATAATAGCAATAAATATGGGTCACACATAGAGTGCGACATCGAACCAACGCCGATGGTGATTTATAAGTGGGTCGGAGTAAAGAGAAATTCAGTCGCAAATAGTCCATGAGTGTGAGTGAGTGAGCAACAGTAACATCAGCGAACAGCATATGATGAGCAATTCTAATAAAAATGGAACTGATACAATGCCATCGCTATCGAATTGGCGGATGCGTGCTCATATCCGAGACCCTGATACTATATAGACATTCTCTCGTGTTATTGTCGAATGGCGAATGTACGGAGCGAATGTAAAACCTAGCAATAATCCAAGAAGTGGTATGCACAGGGCATAAAAAAGGGAACATAGAAAAGAATGCGCGCAAATTTCCGGGCGCCGACGATCGATAAGCATCGATTGAATTTGACATGATCATGAAAATGGGGAAACATATAATATTTCGCTGCCAAAGTGCTTTGCATACATGTATCGATTTAATAGCATTATTGCCAGAGCTGGCTTAGAAGCATCACGCGACGATAGCAACGCAATAAACCGTTCAACATGTAAATTTATCGATTTAATACAGACATCACACAGTTGGTTATCGCTGCAACAACAATAACCTTGGCAAACAAGCCGAAATGATACAAATTGAAAATCATTATTGGTGCTACTGCTGCTGTCGCCGCTGATTGACATACCGTGCCACAAAAATCACATCCAGCCGAAGAGGAAATCGTGTTTAATGAATAATAATAAAAATAACAACAATAACAAGACAGCGACAAGGCTAGGAACTTACCATTTTTAGTGCTTGCCACGTAAATTTTGATGATCAGAGGTGTCGGTAGCTTTGTATTTTGGCTTAAATGTCCCCGCAAGGCATTGTAAACATTCTCCTCGATTGGAGCAGCCATGATGATTATGCCGTGCCGACTGCAAAATGTGCCAGAACCTGGATAATGCCGTGTATTGTTTGTTGTTGTGTGTGTGCTTGCTTGTTTGTTTGCTTCAAAACACAGGAAAAACACAACTTTCTTTTTAAATATTCCCCAATGTGGTCCGTGACTAAAATCTGGATCTTTGTCGCTTCGTTTTCCACTTGCGTGCGTGCTCTGTTTGTTCTCTCTCTCTCTCTCCCACTCACTCTCTGCTCGTGAATTCTATTGTTATTGATAAAGGTTCTTTGAATATATTTTCGATGTTTCTATCGCGTTCTGTATTTCTTCCCTCTTGTGTCTCTGCTATTTTCGGAGTCGTTCCTCTTCCTCCGCTTCGTTTTTTTTGTGCTCTATTTTCTTGGTTCGATTATTCCAAGAGGCAGATGCTAATATTTCCGCCAGCTCCAAATATATTAGCGAATGTGAGAACTGAAAATGGTAACATTGCAGCCACGTACGTAGTACACAAGAAATAAGCACAAGCTCAGTGCTACCGGTGTTGACGCTCGCTTTTTGTATGCAATCATCGATCTAGTCGATGAGTGTGTATGCTCCACCGGAAAAGCCTATGGAAATAGAGAATAGAGGAAGAAAAAAACAGTCCAAATCGAAAGAACAATCAGTGTGAATAAATATATTGAGGCGAAAAAATATAAATCGATTGAGTTCAAGCAGCGAAATGTAAGCGATGAAATAAAACACGATATCACATTCATTATATTCAATTTGCCACTTTGCTACGGTCTCTCGTTTCGACTATATTTTTGTGCTCTCTCTCTCTCTGCTTCTACAATTTTACTTGACATTGTTATAAATTTGTATTCGCACTCTTTTTTCGCCAACGCGAGCCAAATCACACAAAAAAGTATTATATCTGTTCTTTTGTTGAGATGTTTCCATTCGAATAGGACGCGCGCGTTCTTTACCCCTTCACAGGAAATAAAAAAGCTTTCCGCAGTCTTTTTCCTGTCTGTGCTCATTGCCATTTTTTTTCTCTCGCCCATTTATCATTTTTGACTGTGTAGGGATTTTTTTGTACGGAACTGTTTCTTCGGTTGACGAAAATATTCGAACAACTTCGGGATTGTGAGTGTGATTGATGACCAATGTAAAGGCACTGCTTCATGCATCAGCCTGAAATCATGAGTAATGCGCGAATAACAAACAAAACAACATCGACAATTGAAAATAATGAAAATGAAATTTTTATTTGATTCTCTTCATCATTTAAAAAATTATTTCGTGAACTGACTTTCGCTCAACATTTCAGCCGAAAACGAATTGCTTTTTCTCTCTCTCTCTCTCTCTCTCTCTCTCTCCCTCTCTCTCTCTCTCTCTAATTTCACCTCTGTCTTTTTCTCTGTTTCCATTCTTGGAGGGAACGCTGTGAAGCGAAAAATTTTAATAAATGAAATTGAACAATTCCAAGAATGATACTTGGAATATTTAAGTCCATATATCTCAAGTACAAATGGGGCTTGAGCACACAGCTGAAGGTCGAAGATAGATTTCAACAGCAACATCAGTAGCCAAATATTAGCTTCAATTCAATTCCAAAAATAGGTAACAATCATTTAAATATTCACATTGCTTTGTTGTTGGGCTGCCGATGCTGCGACTGCTGTGGCAGCTAGAACTTGGCTGGCCAGAGCAGGCGAAGCCAAAAATCGACACCATGCATAGTATGTCGAAGTAAAAGCGGTTACATTTCCGACTACCAAAGCAAAAAAAAAGAGTTTGCCGTTCTGAAAATTGTTCGTGTCAGCCCACAACCAGTCATGTGGTTAGCCTAAGTGAAACGTGAGCAAATATTGTGTGGCCGATTTTCGTTATAAAATGAAAAACTCATTACAAATTCAGCAAACAAAGCAAATTCCATTCGTTATCGGCTATTTCGCGGAGTGAACAGAGAGTATGAACAGAGAATATGTATTTAGTATGGTCTTAACAATGACCACGATATCAACATATTTGATCAAAATTTTGAGTCACCAGGTAAAAATGTACAAAATCAATGGATATTTCGAAATGGAACTAACATTTTAACATCCTTCATCATTCAAATTACTATTGAATAATGTAATTTTTCTTGTCCGAAACATATTTCAATAAAGAAAGGGTCAACGATAAATACCGCCTGTTACAAAAGTATACGTTATGCCATTTGCCATCAATATTCAACGAAGGATTTCACTTCTAGTTTCTGTTCCCATTCTTCGTGTTTTTGGAATTGGGTCAATTTAAAGTTGAAATTTTCAACATGAAGCTGTCAAATCATGAACGTGACAATTTAATATATTCTGTTGAACAATGCCGTATACCATAATAATCATTTGGAATAATGATCAGAATGGCTCAAGTTTAACAAAGTAATCAATTAAATTGGCGTGACAGTTAGTTGAAGTGAAATTGAAGTGGACGGAGCCCCATCATTGTTGATGATAAAATCATTACGATTTTGACTTGTTCATATTTCGATGTGATTACAGTCTATGTGTGTTGTCAACGTGTGTCACATTTAATTTCAGCGGCTATTGTTCGCATACAGATAGAGAGCGAGAGAATACAAGGTTGTTCTCCTCCCAGAAATGTGTCGGTAAGACAATTGAACTTTATTATAATTTGCAGCTGTCTCGGATGAAACCTTTTGAAATTTAAATGGCATTCAGGCTGATATATTCCCAAAACGATATAGTATACTTATGCTAAGCCAAACTTAGGAAATTGCCTTATTAGTAATCAGCTGTGAGTATGTGTCCTTGTATCATAAATGATGACCGGGATTTCGGATTACGAAAAGTTATCATCGTTCAACGAGCCTAGTACTATGTGATGGCACTTTATGAAAAATCCCTTAATTATGAACTCTTCCTTTCCCCATGTAGCTCTTACGGTAGATGGATATACAGTGACGATTTTATCTTGTTTCCGTACAATGTTTTGATAATAATAATCTCGATTTTATGCTCTTCTTTTTCCTATTGTCTCTATCTCTCTTCGACCGGATTTAAGAATTAAAGTCGATATCCGGTACGACACAGTTTGTCACTCAATCTGCAGTGTGCAAGGTAAACACATGAACTTATAGAGGACAGAGAGAGAAAATAGAGTAGTATGATGGAGGCGGAAGCGCACATCATCATCATTACTATTCAGTTGTGTTGATAGACTAAACCAGATCGTTGGTGACCTTTAGAAAGACTATTTCAATGAATCATCATTATCGTAAGAGCATCAATCATCGTTGAGGAGAGAATCATTCAAGGGGATGATGCCATCAACAACAATTTTGTCCATTCAATTGTGGGCTTTTAATCATTTATAGCTCACTGCGTTCAGCTCACCGGGACCTATACAAATCGAGAAATAGATAAGGAGAGAGAGAGAGAGAGAGAGAGAGATAGCGTGAGAGCCAAAAGAAGATTATATGTTTTTCGAAATTCCATCGTCATATTTTCGGTTCATTTAGGTATTTTCTCCTTCGTTCTTTTCTTTCTTTCTTTTGTAAATGTTTGTTATCTTTTAAACCCATGTGTGTGATGTTAGAACATACTTGACCATGAGCTTATTCTTGCTACTGATATTGACCCAATTACTGTATTGAAAATCGGGACGAATGAATGAAAACGAAAAAAAGGGTGTAAAATCCAATGCAATGCATTGATACACAGTAAACACGATGGTTCTACCCACAATAAAATTCACTGTAAACTTAATAGTCACAATTACTTAATATTGAAGTGTCACAGACGCAGTGATCACACGAACAAGAATAACGCATACATGTATACACATACACACAGTAGGCTGTTGGGCGTGCGTGTATGGATGCGTTATGCTTGTTCGCATGCTCACTGTGACTGTGACACTTCACTGTTAAGTTATTGTGACTATTGAGTTTATAGCAAATTTCCTTGTGGGTAACTTTTGGAACCGCAATATGAAATTTGGCACTAAAATCCATTTAAGTACCATTTGTGCTAGAAAAAGTTCAAAATTTACCAAATCAAAGCTTCATGTATTTATTATAGAACTTTTGAACTTTTTCTAGAGCAAATGGTACTAAAAAAAAGTCAAGTGTCAAATCTCAACATTGCTAGAATCATTGTGTTTACTGTGTAGGACATGTTTGCTTATCTTCTATCAATTGGACCCGGGTCTTTTTTCATAAGAAGATTTCGAACCGTCGATAGAACGAACATTCAGCTTCGACACATTTCGCCCATTCACTGATATTCGTTTTTGGGCTTAGTGCGTCCGACTAAGTAAGTTCATTTGAATTTACCGCTTTTGTATGAGTCTTTCATCCAATACAATGCCACCTCTTCGTCAGCATATCAAATGCTGATGTGCATTTATTCGAATTGACTGAGTAAATAAGTTGAATGCAAATTGCAAAATATGCACACATTCCCACGTCATCTCGTAGATAACTTTCTATGCGAGTGTTCGTGCAAAGTAATGAATTGTGTTGCGGTTGATTCTTTCGTTCCGTCTTTTGCTGTTCAAACGAATTTCATTATTCCGTTCAATTCAATTCGAACTGGTCAATGTTACAAAAATGAATCTTCCTCTTCTGCGTTCGTTTCATCGTTTATCTTCTCTCCAAAGTGTCGTGCACGTAATATCATTCTAACTTCTCGTATACACAGTTTCTAGGGATAAATTCGATAAATGTTATGTTCTTGCTGTTATCGCCCGTTTTCGCCCATCCCGTTTTTTTCATTGAGGCTATTAATATCAAATTGATTGGATCAGTCATGTGGGAATTTTAATTTTCGATAAACAACACCATTTCGCTTCAACTGAACCGATGCTACTCCAGCAGCTACAGCCAATACTGACGACAACACAATAGTGATGCTAATGGATTATTGAATGTAAAATTGGAAAACTTTCGGTTTGGCTATTTTTGTAAAACGGTCGTTTAAGCACAATGCTCGGAACTATTTTCATTCGTCTATATGGTGTTGAAGCTAATTTTCCGAGAAGTGGAATGGGGAAAGAATGTGTGACTATCAATTTTAATGGATACACATACAAAGAAACGATGAGGTGAACCAAAACTGCCATGGATTATATGGTGAATGAAATTGCGTCTTTTTCGGCCAAATCAACCATTTAAATGCATCGTAGCCACACTTTGAATGTTATCATAAGGTATTATAAAAGTAGCTTTTTACACATAAAAATGCACAACCGTTCCACTCAATTTAGATGGGTGAATGTGCTTTGCGGCAGTGTGTTAATATCGCATTATGATAACTAATCACTTCCATCGAAGTTTTGTCATGAAATTAATCAAATTGCAGCCCAGTGTTTGCTTGTTGTTTCTCTATTTTTTGTCAATTTTCCCAAGGAATAATCCACTTATTTCCACATTGTGATTGTGTGTTTGGTGATCTTCTTTGACATCATATTAAAAATGGCAAAAATACGCAGAAATTTGATAAATTATACAACATTCCAAAATAAATTTATAACAAACGTTCCATGGATTGGCAAGTAATAGGTCTTGATGCTCACTGAGAAATACTATTGTGAGCTATACGAGAACTGTTGGTACTCTCTGAGTTCCATCACATGGAATGATACGTGTGACGGCATATTTTCACACGGAACTTCGTTCCCAGTTCACCGAGCACTTGCTATATATAGAGCGAACGTTTCCGAATATTAGAAACCACACGTTATTACATGTAGCTAGTGCTCGGCGCACTGGGAACAAAGTTCCGTGTAAAAATATGCCGTCACACGTATCATTCCATGTGATGGAACTCAGAGAGTAACTTGACAGATTACCACCATTATTATGACAGGCATAGTATGTGTTTGCATTGTATTTACTATGCTGTGCAATATTACTATGTCACAAAGTAGTATTGGTGGTAATCTAGCGCGGCAAAGTAAATACAATGCAAAAACATACTATGCCTGTCATAGTAATGGTGGTAATCTGTCAAGTTGCCAATAGATGTCGTACAAATCGCAAAATGGTTTTTCTGTGAGTGTGTATCACTCGAGCTCACAGTGTATTTATCCATCAAATAACGGCCGATTGCCGATGGCAAGATATGCGATTTGTGTGTTCATGCCAAATTTGTGAATTTTGCGCTGAGTTTTTCTCTGTAGAATCACACACATTCGATAAAATAAAGAAGATGAAAAAAACGAAAGTAGAAGAAGAACCTATAGTTTTTGTGTACATTGTCCAAAGTGATACCGATATAATCGTGTCGATCGGTTTATTCAAGGCCCATCAACACTTTGATCCTGTAGCAAAACGGCTCAAGACGACGGTTACACGATTATCTTGATATAAAACGAAAAACACATGCACGATTGAGAGTGATGGAAACCGAGTGAAAATAACGTCAACAATAATAATAAAATGGAGAAGGCATCAATAGCGGCTACGAAATGGGGACACAGGGGCTACATCGGTACCTAAAATGATGATATATTTGCCAGAAGCCAGATCGTCATCTGAAAGAGAGTGATAGAGCTGATGGGTGGCTGTTTTGTATGTGTGTGTGTGTGTTTGTGTTTGTGTATGCCAGGCATACAATGTAATGTGCGACGTGCCCGTTCAGAACCTCTCCGTATATAGAATACGTTAAATTCAATGGTATTTTTGTGCCAGAGAGAGTAAAGTTATTCCACCGTTTCGATTGCTATTTTCATTGTATGAATTTCACTTCCACTTGAACGTAAATCGACGAAATGCCATCCATTGGGATCGGATCGGATAGGATGGCATGCTACCGAGGGGAAAATCACTCTAAAAAATTACTTTTTCGGTTCATAAATTACTTTCACTATTACTTTTTTCAAAAAAAATTATAAATTATTTTTTTATCATAGAAAAATATATTTTCGACAAGTAATTTCTAATAGAAAAGCAATTTATCGAATAAAAAGTAATTTGTAGTAATTTTTAAAGTAATTTTTAGTCGATAAACTACTTTCAAAGTTTTTTTTGTTCAACGAATTACCTAAAATGTTTCCCGTCAAGTGATTTCCCCCTCGAATGCTACGCAAACAATTTTCCCATTCAATATAATGACAAAGACAAACAAACATAAAGGAATGGCTCTCTGTGTCGTACGACGAGAGAGAGGAAGAGGAAGAGAGTGAGTTAGTGAGTGAGTGAGAGAATAAAAGTAGTGCTCAGTTACATACAGTTGATTTCAATTCGAAAGCGGCTCACACCGTCACTAAAGTCATGCTGTGTATGTGTGCTCGCGCGTTTGCGAGTGTATGTGTGTGTAAACACGTTTCTCTTATTTCCTCTCTTGAATTCTACAGAATAACGTCTAAAAGGCAATATGTTTAAAAAGCATTCAGCACGATTCAATAGATCTCAAGCCGAATGACTGATATGTCGGTATTGAATATCATGTCAGCTCTTGCTTTCGCTTGTTCTCAACGAAGCAATCAACCAACTAACCAAGCCACCACCCACCTACCCATCCACTCGACCGACCAACATCAATTCAGGCTTCAATTTTTTTTTTGCTGCGTAAATTGTCTGCTGAAGAGGAATTTGTGTACATTGCAATAAACGCGACGATTTAAATTATGTTGGAGGCGCTGTCGAGTCTACACATATACATGCACATACGCTCAGGGCGACCGGTATGAGTGATGATGTACCAAAAAATGATATGAATAGATGTTTCAGGAATGTGTGTTTTACATTACGGTATCTATTTCGTCAGCACAGTTCATGTGAGTGTACTGAACGATTTCGGCATGAGTGCGCCATGTCAAAGTCGATTCGGGTGCGCATTCATCACCATTTATCGAGAGAGCAAAAAAGAAAAATAAATAAGTGATATAAAAAAAACCCAAACACATCCCAATAATAACGAAGACCTGAAGAGAATGAGCACAAAAAAATATTGTATCGAAGCAATCAATTGTGAAAGATCGAAATGACTTTGACGTATTAATGATGTGCGAAGAATGGCGTTATAAAGGCACATGTTGATAGCAAACCACTGGAGAAGGTCGCTGTTTTGGCCGTCGGTTTGATAAATGCACAAATATACGATATAGCCCCCGACGAAATCGAGTGTTTTACATACATTTTGTATGAGACTGAAACAGGCAAAAATGGATCGCTTGCTTAATTTTCACACGTGTGTTTTCGGTAAGTTCATTTGAACTATTGAGAGAAAAAAACACACACCCAAAATCATCAATCCTAAACTCTGAACAGAAACGCCCAGGCATAATTTTTTAGACGTAAAATCACGTACAATTTTCGAAACATATACAAACTCTGGCTGTCGCTGCTACGAGTCGTCTTGTTTGCAAAATGTGCGTTTGTGTACAATATCTTTTACAAATTGTGTGCTGCATGCTTATCTCGGTGCGACCACGTAACACTAAATAAACCGAACGAAAAAAAAAATTAAGTAGGAAGAGGCAAAAATCGAACCGAAAAACCGAACAACAAACTTAAGTAGTTAGATAAACAGAAAATACTCAAGCACACACAGACACACAATACTCTAAGCTCAAGCACACAGTTTGAACTGCTGCTTGTGTGAATGTGTGTGTTTGTGTTTGTGTTTGATGCTCAGTTGATGTTTCTGTGTGTCAAACGGATCGAATGCTTTTTCCCTCCAGAAAATGGGTAAGTATATAGGATGCGACAAGCGATGCATACCGAACCATAAAAGTCGAGTTCAAATGACACAAATCTAAATTGAAGATTGGTTGAATTTGCGGTTAGCATAACACAAGTCGTCGTCATGTTATTCGTCTTTTTTTCGGTGCCAAATGATTTCAAGTCGCTTGTCATATTCACGTCGACAATTCTATATATACATTCAAAACCCGTTCCATTACACAATAATTTGCATTCATTGATTTAAAGTGCTTAAAATCTCCGATTTTTTTTCCTTCCATCGCTCGTAATTCTCGTAGTATTATTCGCTCAAAAACATTTAAAAAAAACAGAAACAAAAAGAGTTTGTATATAAACAGAATTTGTGGCATGGCATGGGTAGAAAATGGATCACGAACGTGATCAAAAGAGTCGGTTGATGTGTAAAAAAAGAGAAATAGAGAGAGAGAGAAAAAATGAAGGCCCTGAATGTGCAAAATGATTGAAAATGAATGAATGAGTAAGTGGTATTGGAATTCATGTTCGGTTTAGCTTCTCAGCGCGAAGTGATAAAAATCGCTAAATCGATTACGAGAGCTGATGCAAAGATACGAAGAGTAGTGAGCAGCATTTCAGAAAGCAGAACAGAAGGAGAAAACAGAAAAAACGACGGCAAATGGCGTGTACAACAATTTATCTTTGCGTTTAATGTTTGGAGTTGAGGATCTATCAGCCAGACACATTGACATAAATAAATAACGCTGAGAATATCGAATAAAATTTAACACGTTTACGGATAAAATGCGAGTATTAACGATTCAATTTAATTTATATTCAGTACGTGCGAAAGGATATCATCCAAACGGTTGTGTGTGATTTCGAAACTTGGGCCTTGGCACTGACATAGCGCGCGCGGTAGGGGAGAAGGAGGAGGCGGCGGCAATGGGATCGATATAGAGACTTTCATACTTTCCGTTCACTTTTATTCTCGCCTACTTCACTTTTCCAACCATGCCAGAGCATTCTTTCCTTCTTCTTCTTCTTCTTCTCCTACTCCTTCCGTATGATCGCTTTTTTATGTGGTTCATAATTTTGTTTTCATTGCAATGGCTTTTCTCGGAATTGAGCGCGATTTTCTTCGATGGGTTTTCTCTCTCTCTCTCGCTCTCTTTCTCTCTCCCACTTCTACGCTTCATACTCTGCGACATTTGCCGAGTAGATCTTTACTTTATCACTTTTCACCATTTTTTTTCTCGTTTTTTCTTTTGTTTTTCCCTCGGAGGGGTTTAAAGAAATGGGACAAAATGCCAGCGAAGCATTTTTCCGCTTTTTTCGGCACGTGTAAATCGATTGATTGCTAATGGTATCTAAATTCGAATTTGAGAGAAAAAAAATCGGTCGTAATGCGCAATTTAGGGACGAAAAATATTAAAGCCGATTTTTGTGCCAACGTTACTCGCCCGAAAATCAAAGCATTTCTTTCGGTTAAATGTGCTCAATAAAAAAGAGAAAAGAACAAAAGTGGAACAAAATGCCTCGAATTTAAAAGGAAACGAAATGAAATGGAATTTCAAACATAACTAGCAAAGTACGACTAGCTGAAAATGGAATTGAAACAAGTCAGGTGTACGAATTTCGAGCAGTTCGAATCAAATTCTCATATATATTTTTCGACTGCGCCATAAGTGGGGCGTTAGTATAATGACTGCCCCAGCCGATCAAATCGAAGCATAATCAATTTTCACACGACCATTTTTCGACGAATAAGCACGTGGACACATTACCACGGATAAAAACACAATTATTCACTATGCAACGTATAGCAGACGAAATAATGATTGAACGCAAATATTTGAATGTGAATTAACTTACATTTACCTGGAGACATTTCGTTTGGACGTCAATGTTATCGTTTCACTTTGTCGTTTCAATGGGCACATTCATGGACTCATCATTTCGCCTGCAATTTCAAAAAAGTGGTCACAATTTGTAAATCTCACAATATATCCCATAGGATACAAACGAATTGGACTTGATGGAAAGTAAACAGAAAATAAGTCTATTTGGGAATTTAACATCAATATTCCCACATATGTGGATGTGGATGGATTTTGGGGGCAAAATCATCGATGGCAAATTGTATAATGCTTTGAATAAGAGAATTTCCATGGAGTTTTTGCGGAATGTAGTTTTGGATTTTAGTTTAGACAAACAATGGAGAGAGAGAGAGAGAGAGAGAGAGAGAGAGAGAGAGAGAGAGAGACTAATATTTTTCATCATCGCTGTTGTAACTTAAGCTAACTCCAAGAACAATGTTACCAGAAAAAGAACTTTGTTTTGTGCTGTACCACTTGAATTGAAATCCAAAACTTGAACATGACAAATCATAAATTCGATTTTAAATTTTGGGCTAAAATCCGCTTCAACAATGAAATGCAAAATAATACGATTGCAACAAAAATGGTTGGCATTCATGTTCAAAGAAAATATGATAGTTGTGTGAATTTCATTTCGGTTGGTAAATTAGTTTTCACTACAACGAACATTTGACATACATGCATGTTGCGGAATGCAATGATTATAAAGTTTTCGTGTTCTATCGCATACGGGTTCTTAATCGTATACACACCGAGCGGGGAAAGAGAGAGAGAGAGAGCGACAACAAAAATTCAGTTATGTGCAGATTCATGCTGACTTTTTCGATCATTTTATTTCTTGACAAATTTTTCTCTCCGCAAAGAGTGATTCAGATCAACTGAGTGACATTTTTGTTGGTAAATTGAAACTGTCAAAATAGAAATGAGCACTTTTCAATTTTCCAATGTATATTGCAGTTTATGACACTCGAATGAAAGAGATTTTTAATGAAAGAGGATAATTTTCAAAAGCAGATGTTTAATTTTGATCTTGAACGCTAAGTGTTGAGTCATAAAAAGTTCACCAGTTTTGCCACATAAATGGAACATTGACGATGCTTGCCTGCATCGTCACCGTGTATACAGAAATTGTATTCGACAACAAAGAACGAGGAATCATTGAATATAAATAGCAATATGGTTATTATCGATTGAATAAAGTTCGGCGCAAAATGTTCGGCATTGCAACTAAAAACTGGTCAACTTAAAACTGAATGTTATATGTAAAGGTGAAATTCATGGAAAAGTTTACGGTTTATATAGCAGCAAAAGAGAAAGGGGAATGCATTTCGCACACCGAAAAGTCACATCGTTTCGATCGAAAATTGTTGAAACTAGCACAACATTTTGAGATGGGACAAAATGGAGCCAAAACATGGAGAAAATGTCAAGGTAACTGTTGACCCGACTGCTCATAATTTGATTGGAAAATCGAATCGAATCGAATCGAATGACCGTACACGTGTTGCTAGACCACCGAATAAATCGGATGATATCGATCAAATTAAAAGCTCGTTGAGATAAATGCATTTGATCGTTAAAAGTGGCAGGTGTTTTCTGAGTTCTTGTTATAAAATCAATTCATTGTTCAAAATAACTCAATAATATGTATTATTTTGAATGTTGCTGGTGGGAGAAAACCAAATCCAGTGTCTCTCTGCTTGTTAAGTGCCAATATTTTTTAATTTACTGTTCAGTCGACTTATGTTTGGTGTGAGTTCGGCTCTCAGTGAATGAAAGGGAAAAAATGGCGTTTTTATTTAGATTTCGTTCGTTTGGTAATGAAGAATAATGGCTCAATTATTTGGTTAATGGCCATACAAATAAACTCTCTTGTCCCCGAAAACCGCACACACAATCTAAAAATGGACAACATATGGACCTGTTCGATATATATATATATACACAGTACACACACAGCGAACGATATGGGAAAAAAACAGTCCCGTAGAGATTATCGTTACATAGTCGGTCAATTCAATTGAGCCATAGCCTATGTTCAGACGTATGAGCTTGTTTATTTGTTGGTTTGTGCTCAGTTGTATAAGCTTTTGTTATGTGTATATGCTTGTTATGCCGAAAAAAGAATCAATCCCATTTAGACTTGTAAATGGATGAAGATTAGGAAAATTCTCTTTTTTCTTTCCCTTTTTTTCAGTCGCTTCGTTTTATGTGCGATGCAATCTGTTTGTTTGTTTTTGTTTCCTTTGCCTTCTATTTTGTTTTATGTTTTTGTTGATAATTCGACGATTCATTGTCGATTCGAAATCGTATGCACGAGATACAATTTACCGAATGGTTTTGGGTTTTATTGAAATCACATTTTATTTCTTGTCGTTCTTATTATACGTGTTCATCGATTTGTTTGTTGTTCGGTTCTTGTGAATTTCGTTGAATTCATTTAAAAATTAGGATGTTGGTATTGCTATCTCTGTTCATCCCCTTAATTTTGATGGGGTTTGATGCTTGGTATGTTATATTTGCATTTATTTTCATTCTATGTGCGGCTACTGTTGCTATTGCTGCCTTTTTGCTTCAATCCCAGCTCGTCTCTTCTTCTCTTTCGTCGGTGTTTTTTGTAGCCCATTCCGTGTTTACGATTATACTGTAAGTGGAATCTCAAACACATTCTTCGGATGTCACATGCCAGCATTTTTGCAACGTTCACATTTTCCAGCAGAATGAAGCTTTTGTTGTGGACTCCCTATCTTATTCTCTCGATTCCGATGATTGGAGCATGGTGGTGCATCGATTCGAAATTGATATACGCGCATCAGACAATGGCTGCTGAAAGAATGCCAATTTGGTTTTTTTGTTCTCTTTGCCAGCCAATAGATTTATGGTAAATAATCACAGCAGGTCAAAACGCAACGTCTCGCAACATGTCCACCAAATTTCGACAGGGAGAAGAAGAAGAGAAAAAAAAACGCTCGAATGCTCTCTTCAACTTTTTTTTTCAATCACAATGAATATGAATATCGAGAACAGAGGACGAGAGACACTGGGAATCGGACAATATAGCCGCAAATAGGGAATGGAATGCCCGAAAACTTTCAACACAGATAGACAGCGAGCGGTTTTGTTGTGAGACTTCATTTCCAACAACAAAGTTCGTGCTGCAATTTTCTCTCTCGTTAGACAGTGATGTATACCATTTTGGTTGTACGAAAAATACATTTTAACGGCACAGATGAGAAAAGTCACACACGCAAAATATGTTCGGCATCAGCAAATAAATCTTATCTGCATAACGATGAAATCACATGGAAGCTTAAGCGATATTTGCGGCACTTTGAATTTGAAATAGAGAGAGAGAGAGAGAGAGAGAGAGAGGGGGGGGCATAGAAATCGAAATGGTGCTGACATCGTGGCAATGGCATTTCATTTCAAACACTTTCTAGCAGCACTCGAAAAACTGGAAAAGAGAGAGAGAGAGCGGGAGAGAGAGAGACAGTGGCAGGAATGAAACCAATTTGGATGTATATATACGCAATCTACACACTCAAAGCCACTTATTCATTATCTGTCACTGTGTTTAAACTTGCAGAAAATAGCATTTAGTATTGTTTGTGTTTACAATGGCAATGCGGCAATGAAATTAAGAAAAGCGCTCCTTCAATACACATATCACGAGATCGTACCGTACGCGTACAAAAGCACACAAACAATCACCGTTCTGTGCTAGTTGCTATCGCTCTCGCGCACACTATATGGAGAAAACTCAACAAAAACGGCATAAACAACTAAACAAACATAACACATGGAAGTATCTAAGGTTGGGCAAATATGCTTCTACTCCCGCCATTTCTCTCGCTTCTTCCGCACCATCCTACGCTTTCTCACTTTCGGTGTTATTATATTTATGTGCCAACTTACTTGCTTACAAAACATTTCGGTGAATCGTTGTTACGTTTGCACAAAATAGACATGTCTTCTACGATGAATGGGCTGATTGCGTGAATAAATACGTACATAAAACAGTCAGTGTACAAACTAAAAGTTTGCCCAAGCCACACAATATCAAATTTTTGGAACAAACTATAGAAACTTATTCATTTAGACGCAATCATTCTGCCTCTCACTGTCACTGCCACTGACGTACCACTATTCACAAAGCGATGAGCAGCACATTCACATCGACACAAACACACAGACAGAGGGAGAGAGGGAGGTACTGGTATATGTCACATCGAAGGAAACTTTGCATCTAATTTAATTCCGATGCTGTGCCTGAAGCTATTCAACGAAGAAAACCATTACTCAAGGAGCTTATGTCATTTTTATGCTAACAAATTTTATGCAATAGGTGCACATGCACATAGAGAATGAAGTTTGTTAGGCATAATCGTTCTATTGGTGGAATGTCAAACTACCAATAGATTGTTTCAAATGTATTGGTAATTTCAGTGCAATTGAGAAATTTCGTTTACTAATACTACGTAAGTGACTTGCGACTTGCATTGTGTCATTTGTATTGAATTTACCACTACATTTGAAACAATCTATTACGTAAAACTAGTTTCACCAATAGAATTTGCAGGGTTCACTTATTCTCTTCTCTATTTGTGTATAATGCTCTCTATATGTACATACCGTACACATAAACATACACAAATTCAACACGAACATGGATGGTTTTTGTCCCGAACATTGTGAAGTCGATTTTTGTAATCATTTTCTTGTATTTTCATTTCATTTCTCTTTTTTGCTTTTTCTGTTCATTCCGGTATATAAAAATGGTTTCCATCATTTTCCAATGAAATTTGTTTTGATATTGTAATTATGGAAAATTTCGTTCAGCTCCGGCACAGTTTCGTTTTCTATTCGAAATGTGATAAAAACAGTCTGGAATTTTCTTGGAATACTTTTCAATAATAAGAATGGTTCGAATGCCGAACAAAAAATACACCGTTCGAGCAGATCATTCATAATTGGGTACATGATCATCACGTTGGATGTGTGTATTGAGAGAACATTTGTTGCATTTTCATTGTTCTATTTGGTGGCGCCAAACAGTAGTATCCACAGTCGCCAACAAAAGAAA